GAATTCATTCACCCACTGCTGGTGTCAGAAGGAGTCAAGTTAAATGGTGACAGTGTAGAGCGTCTTTGAGAATAACAAAACAATCTACACCGATAGCAGCATCAAGTTTGGATGGAAACAAATTTAAGCTATCCAGTTTTTATAATGTACACCATTGGTTTACGCATAATACTTTCTTTATTTCCTTGTACAGGACAGCTGGAAAATATCCAGACATTCAAACGGACAACTTGAAATCCCATCTTTTTTTTTTTTTTTTTTTTTTAAACAATTAGATTCACCCTGTATAAGGCCGGGAACCACACGTGGTAGCGGGTTACAGAACAAGGGGCACAGTTTATGCGAATATGTGGGGAAGATAACGGTTAACCCTAGACTTGAACAGGTTAAGATTATAGTGATCATGAAAACATCCTCTTGGGAGTCAGTTCCACAGAGCAGTGATTCGCTGGAAGAAGCTACTCAAGTAGGACTTACTTCTCACAAATGGAATACGGGGGTGGGGGACTGTGGGTGGATCGTTGCGATGTGCGTAGCAAAGCGGGTCCTAGCCATGAAGGTTAGAACTGGTGGACCTAAAGAATGTAGACCGTCTGAGAACTTTTCTAGGGAACTAGCGACGGAGTAGTGAGAGGTTTGCGATATCAAGTTTGTGAGAGAGGGTTTGCAGGGCGGAAACTAATTTGTCAACCTCAAGGACGAAAAAAAGCCTTTGGACTCTATCGAGACTAGAGAGTAAGGACTAGGCAACTACTGCCCAACTATGACAGCAGTAATCCATTTGGGGCCTGATTAAAATTGATCTTGTAAAGTTAGAGGATAGCAGGAGTAGTCAGGTACCTACTGGAGCAGTACATGGAACCGACAATTTCTCCTGCATCTTTAGCGATCGATGTACGAGTTCTACTTGAGGTCTGGGTTGAGTTTCAGGCCCAAAAGTCGCGATACGGGGCCTCCCTGATAGAATATACATTCATCGTGACTGGTTGTAATTCAGGGTCCGATGATGAAATGTAACTAGTTTGATTTTTGAGACACTGAATGTAACCAGCCTGTTTTTCCTCCATTGAGATGTTAGAGCAAGATCGGAGTAGAAATCATTGATGGACGGTTATTAAAGTGAAATGAAAAAGATTTATCTGACACCAAATATTAGGTATTTGACATATTTCACACCGTCTTTTTATCAAAATAATAAAAAAAAAGGTTTTCCACTTTCTATTGATCCTCAAGTTTTAAAAGATCCACTAGGAACTATTGCGCACACCTAATAATGCGATTCTTTGCTTTATCTGAATGTGCATCTTCAAGGCAAGACATATATATATATATATATATATATGGGGGGGGAAATCAGATTGCATAAATTTAAGCGTGCTACTAGACTGGCCATTAGGTGTCATTGTTTAAATACTGAACTAGCTAGATGGAATCGTCTAACCTATTCTAATAGTTTATTTTCTCGCCTGTAGAAGTCCCGATTTCTTGCTTTTCTGTCACCTACAATCATTTAAATGCACCGTCAATCGTCATCTCCTGTCTTTCTGAATCCGCTTTGTCCCTTTCCTTACCTTCCCTAACTAAAGTCTTCTCATTGTCTTTCAATCCCTCTACCCCACTGCATCCTAGTCGCATTATCGCCTTGTTTGGGGTGAAATGATTAAAAAAAAAAAAAAAAAGAAAAAAGAAAAGATTTTGAGAAAGAGAAAGCGGGAAAGAAGAGAGAATGCATTGCGACGTTTTGTCAAAATAAACCAGTTTTTATTTTTTAAGAATAGTTTACAAAGAGTCAAATGAAGAATCCCTGTTTTTAGCAATTTGCAAAACGATTGTCACATACCAGCAGGCAAATGAATGCGTCTTATACTCTGCTACTGCCATTCGTGGAGAAGATTAGCCTAATAAAGCTATTAATTTACTAACTAGCCATATTTAAATTACAACACTGTCAAAGGTTATTCAAAGAGAGACCAGAACATGATTTGGATAAGAGAACATTGATGCTTCCTTTTAACTTTGGATTAAAAATGACCAGCCTATTTCAAGAAATAGCACTTCAGCTCGAAAAAGTCTTAACTGGAAATAATAGTTCAGTTCAAAATAGAGAAGCGAGTTTTGATATGTCTCTTGCGAGAGGGAAAAGATTAAAATTGATCTTAATTCAGTGCTGATAAAGTCGAGATGTTTATTGGACTGAACTGACATTCACAGAGGACTCAGAGAGGGATGAAATCAATTTGGTCAACCACTACGCAGCTGCGAGTGCTTCCTATCGTTTTGATCATTGGAAAGTCTGTAGTACTATTGGTGTTTGCATATTAATATATGCTAATAAATAGTCACATATTTGGACAAGTAGTAACCTGATTCATGTAAGTTTTTCACCCGCTTTAAAAGTTGGTCTTGGTGTCTGTAAAGAGAAACCAACAGAAAGTCTCAAATAGAACATTATATGCTTACCTCCTCGATGTGATGGTCACGTTTTTCCTTTTAGAGGTTAGTGTTAAAACTAGTAAATGTTTAAGTTTTGTATGTTTTTTTTTTAAAGTTTGACAAGTCTTTTATGAAGATGGGTGTAAAATAATCATTATAATCCAGTCTTACTAACCAAGCTGGCTTTGTAACATACAAACTGAGATTAGTAAATAACAATAGTAATACAGTATAAGAGAAACCCGGATATAAGAGACTTCCCCGGTCCCGAAAACTCTTATATCCGGGTTTCTCTTATATCCGGGTTTGGTCTATTTCATATACATTAACACAGGCTCTAATTTGGGACCAGAGAAAATCTCTTATATTTGGGTCTCTTATATCCGTATCTGTATATAATACAGTATATAATCTGTATATTCAATCTCAATTATGCTTAAATGTCCAGGCTGGTGGATGTGGATTTACACGTTTTAAAAAAGGCGTGTATGTTTACACAAAAACGTGTATCCACTAAAATATAACGTTTAAGTTATAGGAGATAATGTCGGATTAGAAATAAAGTCTATTTACTCCTTAGAAATTGCTTTTTTTTCCATTTTGGATAAGAAAAAAATTAGCAGATTTGGGCTCCAAGTGATCCAAACAAGATATATGTATTTCTTGAATAGGGCAACTGAAATTTGCTTGACTGTGAAATTCTTCCGTGACCAAGCGGTTTAAAGCACGCTGAGTTTTATAGGTTTCTTTTACATGGATGGAGTAAGTTCGAAGCCTACCGGAAGAAATATTTCATTTATAAAGACTCTTGAATAAACAAACCAGTAGAGATAAATTTGTATCGTTTTTTTAAATACTTTTTATGTATCCACTAATATATATATATATATATATATATATATATATTAGTGTTAATTTGAAAGAGTGTTTTTTGAAGCCCAAATTTCTGTTTTTTTAGTGGTTTGTTGATAAGGAGGCATTTCAGGTAAGCAAGCTTTGTAAAAGATTGCTCAATATCAAGATAGGGCGTTAATAGATTTAATGATTTTTTTTACTTAACTCATGCTTACTTCGAAGTTTCATGGCTACATAGATGTGGGTTCTTGTCTGAGCGGAGTTAATCTGCAGTTTAACTTCGTTCCAACGTGTGGCCACATCTATTTAGTCACAGTTACGAAGTGAACATGAGTTAAGTGATAAAAAATTATTATATTATATATATATATATATATATATATATATATATATATATATATATATATATATTCTAATGAGTCAGGTACTACCTACCTAGATTTCACTACATGGGATCATCAGGGTGAACTGTGTCATTAGGATTTATTTATTTTACTTTTGCTCTACTTAGCGTATTGAGCACTCTTCGTTTAAACTTAATAATCGCTGTTCTCTTTTCTTTGTACCAGAGATTTAAGGTACTGGACGATGTCTTTCGCCCTGTTCGGAGGTTTCTGGTGCTTTCTTTTTTTTCCATTTTTCTTCGGATGCCAATTTATTTGAAAATTGTGCTATCCAAGTTATTCCACTCACCGAGTTTAAATATATATATTTTCAACACCATCACTTGATAAGACACAGAGTGTGTTGAAACAAAATGGCTATTTTTGTAGTGATTTTATAACATACTTATGTTATAAATTTTTTTATAAAAATAATTATATATATATATATATATACACTTTAACCAATCAAAAATGGTATCAGATTTTTTAATAATCAGCTCTTATCTGAAAACTACAATTCTCAATTGTAACCTACTCAACGGAACGTTACTCTAAATTTGGGATAAAGAGAAAACAAACTTTTTATCCCAAATTTTAAATAAAACCTAATAAACTTAATATATTGTAGTAGTAGTAATAATATTAATAAATCACCCTAAGAATGATGTTAGTGAAGTGTCTTTGAAATGCAAAGATCGTTAAAGAACTCTTATTAGCATAGGGGTCTACACAAGACGGATTAATAAATGGACTAGTTATGACAACCAGAATTTAGGGTAAACTGATAAAAAAACGAAAGAAAGGAAATCGGGAAACATTTAACTGAGATTCCCAAAAAAATGACCCGCCACCCAGAGACAAAAGAGAAACAAAACAACTGCACAAAGAATTACAGATGAACTGGCAATGTCAATTTTGCGCAGAGGAAAGCTGAAAAAAGAAACTGGATGCTTATTAATAGATATCCATGAATATCCAAGAATAAACTATATTAAAGGTAAGATAAGATCAAAGCTAAATATAGATTCTGCTGGGATAGAGGTAAGCCTAGTAATTATATAATTGATGATAAGTTGTCTCAGGGATGAAAGGGTAAACTGGAATGGGTAGAAAATGTTTTCTGTGAATTGGACAAATGTTTAATTTTTTTTTAACTGATTATCAACTTTTTTCAGGTTATTTAAAGCCAGAATATATTTCTGGATTGAATTTTTTTTGAGATAATATTGATTTTCTAATACAATCTTATTTAATCCATATCTGGGGGAAAGAGATGGAGCCATACCTTTCTCAAGGGTATTTGCGCGTAAGTGAATATAACGAATCAGACAGCATCTGGTATTCCCAAGCGGTCACCCATTTAGGTACTGACCAAGTGCGACGTTGCTTAACATTTTTGATCGGAGGTGAATTAGTGTTTCACCGTGATATGGCCGCGGACCTCTTTGTTTTCAGAACCCACTTAAAAGAGTAATGATCAACTTACAATGTTAGGTCATCAAGAGTTAATTATTTAATCAGACACTTTACTTTCAGGTAAATACAAAACTGTATCAATTTAATCAGCTCTTATATACACTCGGTGCTAAAATACAATCTTTATGATTTCATCTTGTCAGAATGAACTAATTGAGTCAAATGGTTAGATTGAATAGGTTTTTATATATTCCTTTCATATATGGTTTAAATGGCTCAGACATACACCTATCAATAACTATAGACTAGACAAAATCAATCACTACACTTAGATATGGAGATTATTCCTCTGGTGGACATATATGAACTGACTATTATATAAAGACATAACAACAGTTTTACATCAGCATCTATTGTAGTTGTATTTCTGTAGTTGTTATATACTAAGTTTAGCTTAGTACAAAGAGGTATGTGGCACCCTGCGGAAATCGAGCTCCCTACACAGGAGTAATGGTATGCAAAAGTGTATGCTAATACACGAAGAGACACCATAATTCTGTCTTAATTAATGTTCAGTTCAGATAACGATCAATTGTAAAGAAATGGATTATGTGTCATCAGGTATTGTATTCCCTTTTTGATCCAATTTTTTTTTTCTTGAAAGAAGCGAAGTTTCAAATTTCATTTAGCTACTCGATAGTAATCTAAAAAGCCATCATCTTTTTAAAAATTAAATTCCCATAATTCATCATAATTTTAAAATCTCTCTAAAGAATTCCGCAAAGGAAAAATTCGATGCAACGTTTCACTAATTTTCTGAACCAAAAGCTTCTTTTAATTTACTGATGTCTTAAAGACATCCCCTCTTCGATTTGTCCAATTATTTTGAAGGCTTTTTTTTTTTTTCGTTTCGGTTTCTTCATTTTATGATCTAATTTCGTCAGAATTTCATCTAAAACTTTCCTAAAGCCATTTCCCACTTCAACCAATTATTTTTCAATTCCTTAAATTTGACTAAAAATTATTATTGACGCCATGTCAATGTCTCATGATATGGAACTTGATTTGCAAGAGAATGAATAGAAAGAAAATTAAAATTTTACAAAACTAAATAATATATATATATATATATATAAATATATATATATATATATATATATATATATATATATATATAATCCCTTTATTTCATTTAGTTTTCTAAAATTTTAATATTTTTTATTTTTGTATAATTTTATATATTATTCGTGAATTTACTTACAATTTTATTTTAATCGCATTTCAAATTTCCATCCCCACTCGTTATTATTAATAATGTATCTTGATTGTGTCTGTATATCGCCAACGAATACCCTTTGAAAAAGTTTTGGTCGAAAGGATCCTAAAGGTACAAAAATGACGTCTATTTTGTGCAAGTCTATGTTCTCTTTCTGTGGGTACAAGTCCTTGTTATATATATATGTGTGTGTGTGTGTGTGGTGACAGAAAAAGTATTGGATACAAAATTTTTAAAGCAAATATTCATCTTTATTATGGCTATAAATTTAAAACTTGAGTGAAATGTAGTAAATGCGCTATATTATTTCTAAAGATAAACGTTTTCCACCCTACAAATTTATTGATAAATACAACAGAAGGAAAAAAATCAAAAGTTTAGGATACATTCTTAAAATATAAATGTAGCAGATAAAAAAAAAAAAGTTGTTTGGTATTAACAATTGGATATCAAAATATTAATTTATCATTTTCTACTGACCAATCAAAGCATTCCACACGCTATGATTGACAGCCTACTTTGAAAAGTGATTGCAAATTTGAAGATTTGCAATGTTTTTAACGATGACAAAAACAGGGCATCTCTAAAGAATTTTGTGAAGTGATACTTGACCATCATATTCGTGGAATTAGATAACGAAAGATCTTGCAACGAGGTAAAGATACGCAATACAAGTGAAATTTGCATTTAAAAATGGAAGAAACACCCTAATTACCGATGTGATTTTCAAAGTAACTCCTCTTAAAGTAAGTCGTCGAACAGCTAGAATTATTTGTCGAAAAAATAATGAATAATCAATTCATAATCTGAGAACTTCAGAATAATCTGCAGGCGGTTAGCCCAGAAATGATTAAGGTTTGTCAGACTTTCCATAGGGCAGACGTGCAATTATCTTCTCGAGGAGTCTAGGACAAAATATCCCGGTCTGACGAGACTAAAATAGTCTTTAGTGGAAATAGTACGAGACAAGTATAGAGAAAAGACACTTCACATGAAACCCAAAATTCTATTATGGCAGTTAAAGGCGGTGGCAACAGTTTAACGATTTCGCATTGTTTCTCATCTGGTGGCGTGGATATATTGCATATCGTGGAAAGAACACGGAAAAAAATGTCATGTTACGCGAAATAAGGCTTCCATCTGTAAAATTTCTCAAAATATCAAGACGTTGGATTTTCAACAAGATAACGATCCTAGATATAATGCAGTAAAATCCAGGCCAAGAAAATAAGATTTTCAGTGGTTTTGGCAGTTTCTTAAACTAATTCCAATAGAAATTTTTCCCCTAAGTGTATTAGATCAATAAATATGTAACCTGAAATCTAGACATTCGCAGAACGTTGATCTGAAGTTTCACTGTATAATGTTTTATCGTTGTGATTAACCAGTGAATTAAGTGCATTGACAAAGAAAGTGATTGTTGAACATTGAATAGTTGTTGGTATAAAATCTGTTTTCCATCTTTTAGTTACGAACTTATATACGTGATGCATTTAACAACTAAGCAATTATAAAATCAAATATTTTATCTTAATTACGAGTTTACGATTCTAACACATTGCTAGTCTTTTTAGCGATGAAGTTAATATTACACGGGCGCTGTCGCATTACATGTCGACATCCATATTTCGTTCCTGTACCAAAGAGGCACCAAGAGGTGGTTTGTTGCCTCTTGAATTTATGAACGAAAGAGGCAACGAGTTACTAACTGTTTAGGATAGAGATCAAATATCACAATTTTACCAACAAATCATCATCTCAACATTTTTTCTTTTCTTTTGGAAAATATGTTTGTCATGGAGAGTATGAAAATCAGAGAGAGAGGGAGAAAGAAAGAAAAAGAGAGGGAAGAGATGAGAGAAAGGCGAGAATTGATTGCCCTACGTCAGTACAAAATAATTTTCTAATGAAAATAGCGGATACTCGACGGGCTTAGGTACTGGATCGAGAACAGGAAACGTTAATAGTCTACAGCTTATTCAGTTAAGGCTTTGAGTGATTTTGTTTTTCACTATTAGATTGAATAACTCAAGGAAGCTAGCGTATTTTTCGGTGTATAAGACTCCCATTTATAACCCCAGATTTTATGTCAAAATCTTTTTGTCTTTTCCATCGAAGGTATGAATAAAAGGGACAAACTTCATTTTCGAAGTAAAATGGAGAGATCGTGAAAATAAACTCTACGAATGGCTTGTGGATCAGAGTAACCAAGACCGTCGTTTCTCCAAATATAATACTTTTAAAGGAAAGTAGATTCCATGTGATATTATTTTGGTAGATTTATGTATCAGGACGTTATTGATTCATTTCATAAAACGCAAAAGCCTAGTTATGAGAACAGAAATGACGAAAGAATTCATATGTGAATGTGAGTGGAGAATTCATAGGAAAAAATAAGAAGCAGTATGGGAATTAAATTTAAAAGACGTGGTATCGCAATGGATGAGACAAAAGACATTCTCTTTGATCGTGATATTGGATTCAATTACTTTTTCAAGTAATAATGAAAGCAATAAGGATTTTGGAAGTCTTCAATCAAACTAAATACCTTTATTATTTACAGTATATTTTATGTTGGGAGTACATTTGTGTTTAAAATAACATGAACTAATATTTAAAATATCAGATGGGATTGTTGCTCAATAAAAATCTTTCAAATATAACTAGCATTTCTTCCTCTAAAACTTTGTTTTTTACATCATGTATCTTATAGACCTGTGCATTCTACATTCCTCAAAATACAGTATTGTCTCAAAAATAGGTATATACAAATGTTTGGTTAAAAGTCTTTGACTCGACCAAAAAGACATTCGTCCAAAAGATTGAGGTATCGAGTTCATTGTCGAGAATTTGGTAAGAAGGTCGGATTGAAAACTTTTCAACACTTCGTTTTATATATGTTTCGCTGTATAACGTCTGGTTGCCTCTAGCTAGGATAGAAACCCGGCTGAATTGGCGTCACTTGGAGAGTTTACCCCTAAGCAATTGGCGCACGGCAGAGATGAAGGTGAATTTAAACGTATTTATTTTTAGATAAACACGCCAGTGACTGAGAGAACCATAATATATATATATATATATATATATATATATATATATATATGGTGCGTTGGCTAAATTGTCGCCATTTTATTTTTAATTTCGCGCGTGCGCGTTGTTCGTTTTTGATTTTGTCGACTGCACAGTATAGTTGGGTCAGTTGGGCACCGTCTGTGAGAAAAAAAGATCACTATGCCGTAATTCACTGTGCCAGATGTTTTGAAACGGCATACTGTAGTGCATGCCATTCGCACCTGAAACTCCGATACGAACATGTCAATGTTTGGGTGTCAATCTGAGGACAGTGAAGAGGATTCGGAAAGAGTTGGATGAGTCTAATGGTGATTACGAAGGGGTTTGGTGTAATCACTGATGGTGGCGACATTATGCCTCTATCCTCCCTCAGACTCAACACAGAGGCCTACATTAAGTGCTTTGAGGAGGTTGTGCTGCCCTGGGTCAAGGGTGTAGTGGCTGGAAGATATTATATCTGGCAACAGGACTCTGCACCATGCCACACAAGCAGGAGAACCCAGTCATGGCTGTAAGACAATTTCTACGACTACATCCCCCCCTTAAATCTGGCCATCCTTGGTTATTATGTGTGCGGCGCAGCTGAACAACAAACCAACAAAACTCTTTGTAACACGAAAGATGAACCGAAGACAATGATTGTATCACCATTCACCAACTTAAACAAAGGAATA